GGAGTGTTCTTTTCCGAGTTCTTTCAAAGTGCCAAAGTGATTCAAGTCTTGGTGACTTAGAAAGTTCCCACAGCGCACGTGCTTCAGAGATTCGCTTCAACCCAGGTGGCTTGGATTAGCCCCGATTAAGTGTTATTTCCGCATTGTTGTTTAACCCTTGAGGGTTTGTTCGTCGCTTAGTGAGCCAAAGACTCACAAGGATGTGGATAAGGCTGACTTAGACGCCATTTCGACCTGGAAATCGTCTAAGTGCCGCACAAATCGTCTAGCAGAAGTCTAGCCCCGTGACAGTATGCTTTAATGGCCTTGAACTGGTGTTTACCAAGATTAGCTCATCTTCGACTGATGGATACAATGGCCTTTAGCCTCACCACTTACATACAGCATGGTATTGCAAACTTCAGTTGTATAACTAAAACCTTCTCTAACCTTCACCCAGTTGAAGAATCTAAAAGCTAAATGAGGCACCTTAAATTACCTTTTCAACACTTTCTCAACAATTTCCGGTTCAAAAGAAAACCCTGATTTATCTAATTGTTCCTCCATGGAAATCAAGGCGTTTCCAGCTCTAACTATCTTAGTTATCTCATGAACCACTGGGCTAACATCGACTGAATTCCCCATCCGGATATCATCCAAAACCGTTACATTCTCCTCTGTTCCCACCAATTCACTCTGCTCCTGGGCATTTTGATAAACATCTGGCCTGCCAGACGACGATTGTTTTATAAACTCAGACTCCCATGCATTGGTTCGTGGGGTAACTGAAAACCCAGATGGGATTTCACCTGATGTTACTTTAACAGCTCCAAAAATTTCAGTTATTTCATTTCGCTCCTTTTCCACCAATTCACTCTTCTGCTGGGCATTTTGAGAAACACCCGGCCTTCTAGACAACGATTGTTCTATAAACTCCAGCTCACTGGCTGTGTTTCGTGGATTTATTGAAAACCCAGATTTTGTTTCATATGGAGTTACATTAACAGATCCTAAAATATCAGTTATTTCCTGTAAGAGTGATGGGATTCTACAAGTTTCAGCTTGTTGGGCTTTCTTCGTTTGTTTTGATGATTTGGAGAGTGATGAAAAATGAAGAGCGAGAGGCTTATTTCTAGAGAAATGGAGGAGAATCCCAGATTGTGAATGAGAGTGATGGAATCTAACCAAGTACTTCATATTCAAGCAAATCTTTTGATCTACACTACCTTTGTTGTTGCCGATGTTCAGTTTCTTCGGAAAAATCGAACAAGGCAGGGTGGTTTTGGGAATCTACATGTTTAATGTTCAGGGTAAATTACATTTGTAACCACTTTACTAACTGAGAATTATAATCTGACCATAAATCTTTTAATTTGATTAATTAGATCATTTAATTATTTCAAAGATGCTAATCAAAGCCCTACTATTAACATTTTACGAAGTAATTGACATAACAGTTAACAGGACATGGAACATTGAGTTTTGATTGATCAAACGTGAGGCAAACGAAGCATATAAGTTTCTCTTACCATCTTTTTTCAGTTTTTACTCTCTAGTTGTTCTATCGTTTATCTTAGTAACAGAGCTTAGAGCGTTGAGTGTCAATTAATCATACGTGAGGTAAACGAAGCTGCCAACTTCATGACTATATCATATGATGTTTCCCTCTTGATTTTGGATTACCTTCGGATATTTTGATCTATATTTTGGACAAAGACATTCATGAATCTCCCCATATTCGTGTAAGGGTTAATGTTCTGACTTCCATCTCATTATTACATTAAAAAATAATAATTACATTTTTATAAAATTATAATTTATTGTAATTACATGAAAAAATAATAATATTATACTTTCATGAAATTACATTATGGTGTTCAAATGCACCCTTAATACAAAAACACAACATGAATCCCATCCAAAAATAAAAAACAAAAGACAAAAATGTAAATTCAAATTGCAATGTATAACAAAGAGAATATATATTTTCTCTCTTTTCAAAGGGTTTTACATTGAGGAATCCCCCCTATACAAAACCTGCCTATTGAGAGGTATTTGAAGAAGCTGTCGTCTATCAGCATCATCAACACCAACCTTAACCTGATTTGCAATGGCCGCAACACCCTGATATCTCCTCCTGTATTCATTGTTATTCGACGACGGTTCCCTCACGTCATCGGCAAAAGGAACCCTTTTCTTCACTTGACATTTCCCATTCCCTAAAAAAAAACCCAGAATTCCATTCATGCTGCAATGTTAAAATAACCTAAACAAGAACATCAAGAAATAACATGCATGCACGTATGCATACGTCTAAGTATGCATGCGTGCATGTGTGTATGTATATATTACCAGCCAATTCAAACTCGATCTTCTACAAGAAATCAGAGAGGAGGCGTTTATGGATTTCATTTTCAATGAAAACTATACTCCCAGAAACTGCAAAGACTGCCATGAGCCCTAGCCTTAAAGATCCGGTCTCCATTTCATTTTTCCTTAATTTTCAAAATATTTTTTGTTTTACGGATCAAATGGATCCACTGAGAAATGATGACGAAACAAAAGAGGCATCTTGAAGAAGAGAAGGATGAAGAGAAGAAGTAAGTGGATGGATGGTTTTTATATGTGAAGATGATGAAACAAAGAGGATGAAGAGGATATTTATTAACTAATATTACACAACATATTGCCTTGTATGCCTAATTTTGACTTATCCTCGAAATAAATTCTCTAAATATTCAACTCAATTTTGGTGGTTATTTTTAGATAATACTAAAACAACAAAAGGATGACAATTAATGTTCGAAAGCAACACAAGTAACATCCTAAAATGATCCAACAAGCAAATTCACAAGAAGCAAGCAGAGGCTTTCATGGTGAATTAAAGGAAGATGAACAGAACATGACTAAAATGGGAGTCACTATCATGGTAAATCAAAACATCAAATTCATAATATTTAATTCTTCATATCTATTCCACCTAATAATATTATTTTCAAAGTTTAAATTTAAATCCGTTGATTAAAAATACTATATATCTTACCATTTTAACTGATAATTTAATACAATGTATCTTACTATTTTATCCTATATGGTTACTTCTAAATGAAGAACTTACTCTGTCGATGTTTTTTCACAGTTTCTTACTGGTAGTTTACATGAATTTTGGTTCTTTTGCTGATATAAAGTTCATGATACATAGTTTTCGGAGGATCTTTTAATGCATTTCTTCATCTTTCAGTGTGTGATCAGATGTTCTTCGCTGAATTGATGAGGGAAGCAACAGATATAGACGGATGCTTTAGTTCCCGAGTCCGACATCTCCTCCATCTTCACGTCCCCACCGGTATGCACCGGTACGTGTTGCGGTTGCGCCAATGCTTCAAGAACGACCAACAAGCATTGGAGGAGGAAGGGCGGATTTTAATCAAGTATATCACGATGAACACGATCGCGATACGTAAATCCTCTAGAAATATGATAAAATATGCATCCATTATACTGTTTTATTCTCAATCTTTGTATTAGACGAAGTTATAATTGGTTTCCAATGGGCTTTAGGTACATGGCTCGTTCAGTTTTCATGCGACCTCGATGTGACGCAACCAGTGATGACATTGATGCTTCCGCATTCAATAAAGCTTGAATACAACATACATACATATATGTATATATATGTTCAGGACTGAAACTCGAGCCGAATCTTTTTGAAAAGAAATACAGGCCTCGTTAAAACCCCCCACTTAACTCAATTGAGCCGAAACTCAATCAAGACAGCGGAAGGGGAAAAGAGTACCCAATTATTTTATTAAATAACATCAGTGCATAACAGGAACATCCATTAATCTGTACAATCTATTCACCAATCAGAAAACCTGCCTAAAACAATTAACCAACATCCACGACCCCTTCCAACTCGTATAGGAACCAACTATGGACCCCTTCCATGGTTGCACTCGACCGATTCCTCCCTTAGCCAATCTATCCGTCTCTGTGTTGATATCTCTGGAAATGAGATGTATTATCACATAAATCTGCCTAATTGCTATGCCAATGATTACTTAACAGTTGAGTACGATGGTTTAATTGAAATCAAATTGAAAGTGTAGTGTCTTAATTGATGAAATTATTTATCCAATGATCAAAATAGAATCGAATCAATAATCTAAAGACCTTAAAGATAATTTACCCTTAAATTCAATATAGCCATTAGCCTACATCAAATTAATAGTCGACTCAAATAGCATGATTAATTCAATATAGCCATTAGCCTACATCAAATTAATAGTCGACTCAAGTTTGGGACTGATTTTCAAGTTTTGAAATTAAGGGGGTCTTTTTAAAACTTATTCTTTGATGAAATAAGATGTTACGAACCTCGAAGAAAGATGGTAATTGCATGACGAGAACATCTTCTCAAATTTCCTGCAAATAGAATGTGGTGATGATGTGATACATAGTTTTGGGTTATGAAAAGTAGAGCATTGGGTGATAATGATTACCTTTGAGGGCCTATGCTTCAGTGACGAAAATTGGGAGTAGAATGCTGAGGAATGTATGTCTTTCATGCTGACAAAAAGGAGCATTCATTATTTGATGATTGCAGTTAATTATTATGCTTTAAACGTTTAAAAAGCAATTTGATGAACTACCTCCTGTTTCTCTGCATATAAATTCACATAAATACTCAACTGCCCTTCGGTAGGTTTTGCACCGGAAACTGAAGATAGAAAACAAGTAAGAGATATAATCGCAGCTTGATGATAGAAAACACAATATATTGTTGTAAAAGTGGATGAATGATTCAAAGGATTGGAGGGCACCTACCCTATTCAACCGAATGCGTGGGATGTGAGCAATCTTATGCCAATCGGCACCAATGTCCTTCCTACATCTTTCCTCCAACTGGGGCACTCTTATTATATTTAAATATTCCAAACTGGTTAGGCCATGCATCTCGTCCGGAATCGATGTTAAATTGGGCAAATCTACTAGATCTAGCTCTTTCAGATTTGTTAGATGTTGAAGCCACTCCGGAAGGTGCCGACACTTTGGAATATTTTTGAGATGGAGATACCGTAGGCTCGTATAATCTTGGAATATTTGGATGCCATCTGCAGATAGCTCAAGCTCCGTGCAGTCGATTATTCGAAGCATTTCAAGGGAAGTGAGATGTTGGAATCCAGGAGAGAGTGACCTCAATCCACTGCAATTCTCTATATGCAACGATTTCAAGTGAACAAGATGTTGAAGCCACTCCGGAAGATGCCGACATTTTGGAATATTTTCGAGTAGTAGATACCGTAGGCTCGTATAATCTTGGAATATTTGGATGCCCTCTTCAGATAGCTCGAGCTCCTTGCAGTGACTAATAGAAAGACTTTCAAGGGAAGTTAGATGTTGGAACACAGGAAAGAGTGACCTCAATCCACTGCAATTCTTGATTTCTAGTTCTTTCAACTGAACAAGATGCTGAAGGCAAAGGGGAAGAGACGCCAGCTGTGGAAGTTCAATAATCTTCAGATACTCGAGAGAAGTCATCTTTTGCAGGAATTCGTTCAGCATGTCGCAGTCCAGTTCTTCATGAATATTCCCCACTTTGAAATATTTCAATTTGGAGAGAGGGAGAGATGAGGTTGACGGTGTAGTGTCGCTCATTTGAATGGTATGCTTTAATGGCCTTGAACTGGTATTCACCAAGATTAGCTCACCTTCGACTGATGGATACAACGGCATAGAACTCAAAGGGCAATTTTCAATGCATAAATAGGAGAGACAAGGAAATGCCATGGTTGATGCTCTTCTATCCTTGTCGCCATCCTTATCATCGTCGATCGGGCTTTTCCTCCACCAACTCTGCATATTTGGGCATTCCTGGAGGTAAAGAAGCTTAAGCGATGGGAAGAATGATTCTGATTCACCTTGTCCTCCACTGGTCTCACTGCCGTCCATGTACTCCAGCTCAGAAAGATCACAAATGCTAAGCCGTTGAAGATGTGGCAATCGAGCAAAGGAAGGGAGATGTTTGAATTTGCTGGGACCCCATATTTTAATACCCACCAGATGCGTGAGCAAAGAAATCCAACTTGGGAACTTGGCATCGCCCCTCCATCCTATCACTTGGAGCTCCCTCAGATTAGGATGGGGCTGGAGGTCTTCAAGTGACTTCTCTTCATCTTCACTATCTCCGCTCCATTCTAAAACCAGTTCTCGTAGATGTTGCTTCCCTTTCAAATTAGCAGCTTTAAACTTCTCTCTTGCATTTCTCACGAATCCCAAATTTGTTATTTTTAGCTCTCCCCTCAGGTTGTTGAGCTGACTCAATTCACTTAGATCCGCAACAGCAGCACCATGGGAACCGTCTTTATCCACAACAAACATGCTTAACGTCTGAAGCGAAGTCAGCTTCCCTATTCCACGTGGCATATGAGTTAAGGCACAACTAACACACGGAAGATGGGTAAGATTCACCAATTTTTCAATCTTCTTTGGCAATTCTTTAAGCTGATAACAATACTCAACTTTCAGCACTTGCAAATTTTGCATCTTACAAATACTCTTTGGGAGGATCTTAAGATCATTCCGAGAAAGATCAAGGTACCTCAAATGTTTCAGCTTATGAATGGAGCCTGGAACTGTATCAAGTACTAATCCATCTAATTCTAAAACACGCAAGCATCTACAATTTGAAATTATTAAATCCCAATTTGCATCATTCATACATTCATATCTGCTTGAAAATTTTAACAAACTCCGCAATTTCTTTCCCTTGAGCAAATGAATCAATGAAAAATCAATCGATACATGACGACATTTCTCATCAATCCCACTTGTAATTGAATTTGAATCTAGAATGCAGCTCTCCTTCCCTGCTACCGATTCAGCAAGATCATGCATCAAATCATGCATTTTACATGTTACACCCCGACGTTCATTTTCTTCTACCTCTTGAAAGAAACTTCTTTCAACCAGACATTTAAAATACTCGAACCCAATCTCTTCAAGAGATTCACTCGGATTTGATTGTTTTACAAACCCTTGTGCAATCCAAAATCGAACAAGTTTTTGCACATCAAATACATGATCTTTTGGGTACAGTCTGCAATAAGCAAAGCAATGCTTCAAATGAGATGGGAGATGATCATAACTCAACCTAAGTGTAGGCAAAATCTCACCGTCTCTTTGAGATATTCTAGCTAGTTCATTATCTTTGAAAGAAAGCCACTCAGTTTCAGTTTCTTTAAAAGATAAGGTACTAGCTATTGTCCTTATAACCAAGGGAACTCCATGACACCTTTCCAAAATCTGCTTTCCTATTTCCACAAAGCCTGAATTTGTCGAATCTTCACATCTTTGTTCAAAAGCTATTTCTTTGAACAAAAACCATGCATCATCATCAGACAAGCCTCTCAGAACATGTGGCTGACATTTACTAGTAACCTTAGCTACCCTCGTAGAGCGAGTAGTTACGATTATCCTACTTCCTTTGGCTCCACCCATCAGTAACTTCTTTAAGCTAATCCATAGTTCCCTCTCCTCATTCCAAATGTCATCTAAGACAAGCAAATATTTTTTACCGTCAATTTTGTCCCGAAGTTGTTTCTGCAGTTGATCCATTTCGAGATTTTTACCAGGTTCTTGATCAGTTACAGATTTAATGATGTTTTCCACAATTGTTCTCACATAAAAAACATCAGAAACACAGACCCAAATCCTTAACTCGAAGTGGTTTTTAACCATTTCGTCGTTATAGACCAACTGCGCCAACGCAGTCTTGCCTAAGCCTCCGATCCCCACAATCGGAATGACATAAACATTCTCTTCACTTTGAAACTCCAACAAGAGTCTTAGAAGAGCTGCTTTGTCATCGTCCCTCCCAATAATTTCGCCTTTCGAAACAAAAGAGTGCGATTGCTGCCTCCTTTTGTCCATGAAAGAGGTTTCCACAGGATGGTCACGCTGAACCAAGTTCAACATGTTAGCCTGACTTTGAATGGAAGTAAATCTGGCCTTGATGGCCTTGATTTTTCGTCCCATTTTGAGACCATAAGTAAACGGGTTCGATCTCGAGAAGCAAACGCGTACCTCTTTGGTGAACTTGTTCCCACTCATCAGATTCTTCCGCAAGGCTTCGGTACGGACATCATCCAGCAAGTCTTCCACGTCGTACATAGCATCTTTCAGCTTTGCAAGCCAATCTTTGACGAGTTCGCTGGTCACGGACTGCTTTTCCGCGTCGAGAAGCACGGCTTTGATTGCGGAGATGGTGCTTTTGAGGTCGTCGAGGTCGTCTTTGAAATTCCACCACAAGCCAAGTTGCTCCATAACATGGGAGCTCAGTTCAGAAATGAGCCATCCGGCGATCTCAAAGGCGATTCCTTCGGCCATTGCTGGTTGAAACACAAACGAAGGCTAAAGTGTTTGATTACTTGCAAGAGGAGATGAGATGAAATGAAAATGCAGGTGTTAATACAAGTGGAGTGTGTAGTATTTTATAGATACAACTCCACTAAAAAAGTTGTTTAATATTAAAAAATGCTAAACTATATATTTAGTCACCCAACTATCACTCTTGTTCTTTTTTAGTCAATCAACTATATTTTTTAAAAATAATCACTAACGTTACATTTTGGTCTCATTTACGTCACTCACCATTAAAAAATTAACAGTAACTTTGACATGTCATATAATTCCATTTAATCATTATAAAAAAGAAGAAGATAAATTACACAAATGATTCCGACTATAAGATATTACTTTATTGAGTCCTTAGACTATTAAAATTTATAAAATGATCCATCAACTATGGGGAGTTACTTTGTTGAGTCTCTCAATTATTAAAAGTTACAAAATGATCTTATTATGTTATACACTCGTCCTTTTTCATTCAAAAGTTAACAGTCATATGAGTTTGACGTTAATATGTTAACTATGATATGATTCGATTTTGTCTTATCTCAATTAGTAAGTTAACATATGGCTCAGACCGTCGTCAAACTTTTAACCGAAAAAGATAAATTTGGAACATAATAAATAGTTGGTTGACCATTTTATAACTTTTAATAGTCAATGATTCAACAATATGACCAATTGATTGATCATATTTATCAGCAATTAGAGCATGTGTTATATTGTTCTATTTTTATAAATATTTTACATTTATGATTGAAAATATTGTAAATATTTTCAATAATTCAAGCAAGTGGCTCGATGATTAAAGCAAAGTAGGGTCTTCGGCCTGAGAAGAAGACATAAAAGTAGGCCCTTTGGTCTCAAAAGTAGAAAAGGAATTAATGAAAAATCAAAATATATGTGGCCACATTTATGGGTACAGGTTGCCAATGTGTCGGCACTCTGTTCATGTTTTTTTTATTTTTTTCTTTAAATTATATTATTTTAAAAAATTACATAAAAATATATAATTGAAATTTTAAAAGTCTATATATATTCCTCCCATAAAATTTAAAAATTCAAATTACATAATTAAAATATAAAAATATAACAATGAGTGATTAGTGATAATTATAAATATTATGTGGAATAATACTATATATACGTTTAAGACAATTATAAATAAAATATAACAATGAGTGATTAGTGACAGTATGATAAATAAAAACTTTAATAGTTAAGGTAACGAAGTATAGAAAGATTACTTCGAAATCCTTAAACATCAATCATATAAGAAAACTTAAACAATATTTAAAATAGACAATCAACTCTTCTTTAATAGTATTCTCATCCAATAAAATATCATATATAATAATTATTTGAAATCATGAATTTATGTATTGGATTGGATGAATATTAGGGACGGAGCTACTTTAGGGTTCAAGAGGGCTCGGTCATTGTTAAAAATTTTATATTTGATATAATTTTGGTTTAATAATATTTTGGTTCATATAAAAATAAATATTTAAATTTAAAAAATATAAAAACTTATTAAATATTTAATCATGTAGTAGTTGAACTAAAGAATGATAAGTACGAGTTCTCAAATTTTTAGTCTAATTACAATTTAGGTAATTGCAAGTTTAAATTTTAGACAAATTATAAGTTATCTCGTGAATTTTGAGTTTTTTATTATAAATTTAAGGTAAATATAAGGTAATATATGTATAAAGTCTTTTAATTATTTAACAATGAACGCTTATATCCCTACATACACAGTGCTTAAACTCGAGACCTCAAGAATAACAACAAACTCTTTAATCACTAAGATCACTTGTTTATGTTGAATTTTAAATTTAAATATCTAATAAGTCTTTATATTTTTTTTAATAGTATTACATTTCTATCACTATTAATATTTAATTTTAAATGGACACGAAATAGTCTTTTCACCAACCAAACCAATATCTCTGGCTGGTTTCGTACAATAATAAAACAAAGGTCAAGAAGACGACATAATAAGCTTTAAAAGAAACTCAATCAAGACAGCGGAAGGGGAAAAGAGTACCCAATTATTTTATTAAATAACATCAGTACATAACAGGAACATCCATTAACCTGTACAATCTATTCACCAATCAGAAAACCTGCCTAAAGCAATTAACCAGCATCCACGACCCCTTCCAACTCGTATAAGAACCAACTATGGACCCCTGCCATGGTTGCACTCAACCGATTCCTCCCTCAGCCAATCTATTCGTCTCTGTGTTGATATCTCTGGAAATGAGATGTATTATCACATAAATCTGCCTAATTGCTATGTCAATGATTACTTAACAGTTGAGTTTGATGGTTTAATTGAAATCAAATTGAAAGTGTAGTGTCTTAATTGATGAAATTATTTATCCAATGATCAAAATAGAATCGAATCAATAATCTAAAGACCTTAAAGATAATTTACCCTTAAATTCAATAAAGCCATTAGCCTACATCAAATTAACAGTCGACTCAAATAGCATGATTAATTTAAAATTAAAAGATTAATTTTTCTTGTAAAATCGAGTTTTGTTCATTCTTCTCAAATTTCCTGCAAATAGAATGTGGTGACGATGAAACAAGTAGTGATACTTAGTTTTGGGTTATGAAAAGTAGAGGATTGGGTGATAATGATTACCTTTGAGGGCCTGTGCTTCAGTGACGAAAATTGGGAGTAGAATGCTGAGGAATGTATTATCTTTCATGCTGACAAAAAGGAGCATTCATTATTAGATGATTGCAGTTAATTATTATGCTTTAAACGTTTAAAAAGCAATTTGATGAACTACCTCCTGTTTCTCTGCTTATAAATTCACATAAATACTCAACTGCCCTCCAGTAGGTCTTGCACCGTAACCTGAAGATAGAAAACAAGTAAGAGATATAATCGCAGCTTGATGATAGAAAACACAATATATTGTTGTAAAAGTGGATGAATGATTCAAAGGATTGGAGGGCACCTACCCAATTCACCTCAATGTGTGGGATGTGAGCAATCTTATGCCAATCGGCACCAATGTCCTTCCTACATCTTTCCTCCAACTGGGGCACATTTAGTATATCCAACTCTTCCAAACTGGTTAGGCCATGCATCTCGTCCGGAAGCGATGTTAAATTCGGCAAACATACTAGACGAAGCTTTTTTAGATTTGTTAGATGTTGAATCCACTCCGGAAGATGCTGACACTTTGGAATGTTTACCAGATGGAGATGCCGTAGGCTCGTATAATCTTGGAATATTTGGATGCCATCTGCAGATAGCTCAAGCTCCGTGCAGTCGTATATTCGAAGACTTTCAAGAGAATTGAGATGTTGGAATCCAGGAAAGAGTGACCTCAATCCACTGCAATTCTTGATTTCTAGTTCTTTCAACTGAACAAGATGCTGAAGGCAAAGGGGAAGAGACGCCAGCTGTGGAAGTTCAATAATCTCCAGATGCTCAAGAGAAGTCATCTTTTGCAGGAATTCGTTTAGCATGTCGTAGTCCAGTTCTTCATGAATATTCCCCACTTTGAAAGATTTCAATTTGGAGAGAGGGAGAGATGAGGTTGACGGTGTAGTGTCGCTCATTTGAATGGTATGCTTTAATGGCCTTGAACTGGTATTCACCAATATTAGCTCATCTTCGACTGATGGATACAACGGCATTGAACTCAAAGGGCAATTTTCAATGCGTAAATAGGAGAGACAAGGAAATGCCATGGTTGATGCTCTTCTATCCTTGTCTTCATCCTTATCATCGTCGATCGGGCTTTTCCTCCACCAACTCTGTATATTTGGGCAGATGCTGAGCGTGAGAAATGCAAGCGATGGGAAGAATGATTCTGATTCACCTTGTCCTCCACTGGGCTCACTGTCGTCCATGTACTCCAGCTCAGATAGATTACAACAAACATGCTTAACGTCTGAAGCGAAGTCAGCTTCCCTATTCCACGTGGCATATGAGTTAAGGCACAACCATCAAGCGGAAGATGGGTAAGGTTCACCAATTTTTCAATCTTCTTTGGCAATTCTTCAAGTCGGCGACAAAAATCAAGTTTCAGCACTTGCAAATTTTGCATCTTGCAAATACTCTTTGGAAGGATCTTAAGATGATTCCAAGAAAGATCAAGGTACCTCAAATGTTTCAACTTATGAATGGAACGTGGGACTGTATCAAGTTCTAATTCACGTAATTCTCAAACACGCAAGCATCTACAATTTGAAATTATTAAATCCCAATTTGCATCATTCATACATTCATATCTGCTTGAAAATTTTAACAAACTCCGCAATTTCTTTCCCTTGAGCAAATGAATCAATGAAAAATCAATCGATATGTGACGACATTTCTCATCAATCTCACTTGTAATTGAATCTAGAATGCAGCTCTCCATCCCTGCTACCGATTCAGCAAGATCATGCATCAAATCATGCATTTTACATGTTACACCCCAAAATTCATGTTCTTCTACCTCTTGAAAGAAACTTCTTTCAACCAGACATTTAAAATACTCGAACCCAATCTCTTCAAGAGATTCACTCGGATTTGATTGTTTTACAAACCCTTGTGCAATCCAGATTCGAACAAGTGTTTGCACAACAAATTTATGATCTTTTGGGTACAGTCTGCAATAAGCAAAGCAATGCTTCAAATGAGATGGGAGATGATCATAACTCAACCTAAGTGTAGGCAAAATCTCACCGCCGCTTTGAGATATTCTAGCAAGTTTATCTTTGAAAGAAAGCCACTCAGTTACAGTTTTTTTAGAAGATAAGGTACTAGCTATTGTCCTTATGACCAAGGGAACTCCATGACACCTTTCCAAAACCTGCTTTCCTATGTCCACAAAGCCTGAATTTGTCGAATCTGCATATCTTTGTTCAAAAGCTATTTTTTTGAACAAAAACCATGCATCATCACCAGACAAGCCACTTAGAAAATGTGGCCGACAATTACTAGTGACATTAGCTACCTTCTCAGAGCGAGTAGTTACGATTATCCTACTCCCTTTGGCTCCACCCATCAGTAACTTCTTTAAGCTAATCCATAGGTCCCAGTTCTCATTCCAAATGTCATCTAAGACAAGCAAATATTTTTTCCCGTCAATTTTGTCCCGAAGTTGTTTTTGCAGTTGATCCATTTCGAGATTTTGATCGGGTGCTTGATGAGTTACAGATTTAATGATGTTTTCTACAATTGTTTTCTCATCAAAAACATCAGAAACACAGACCCACATCCTTAACTCGAAGTGGTTTTCAACCATTTCGTCGTTATAGACAAACTGCGCCAACGCAGTCTTGCCTAAGCCTCCGATCCCCACAATCGGAATGACATAAACATTCTCTTCACTTTGAAACTCCAACAAGAGTCTTAGAAGAGCTGTTTTGTCATCGTCCCTCCCTATGATTTCACCTTTCGACACAAAAGAGTGCGTCTGCCTCCTTTTGGCCATGAAAGAGGTTTCCACAGGATGGTCACGCTGAACCAAGTTCAACATGTTGGCCTGACTTTGAATGGAAGTAAATCTGGCCTTGATGGCCTTGATTTTTCGTCCCATTTTGAGACCATAAGTAAACGGGTTCGATCTCGAGAAGCAAACGCGTACCTCTTTGGTGAACTTGTTCCCACTCATCAGATTCTTCCGCAAGGCTTCGGTACGGACATCATCCAGCAAGTCTTCCACGTCGTACATAGCATCTTTCAGCTTTGCAAGCCATTTTCTGACGAGTTCGCTGGTCACGGACTGCTTTTCCGCGTCGAGAAGCACGGCTTCGATATCGGAGATGGTGCTTTCGAGGTCGTCGAGGTCGTCTTTGAAATTCCACCACAAGCCAAGTTGCTCCATAACATGGGAGCTCAGTTCAGAAATGAGCCATCCGGCGATGTCAAAGGCGATTCCTTCGGCCATTGCTGGTTGAAACACAAACGAAGGCTAAAGTGTTTGACTACTTGCAAGAGGAAATGAAATGAAATGAAATGAAATTTAACAGAAACGAAGGCTAAAGTTGTTCTTTTTAGTCATTCAATTATATTTTTTAAATGATCACTAACGTTACATTTTAGTTTCATTTACGTCACATACCCTTAAAAATTTAACAGTAACGTTGACATGTAAGATAATTCCATTTAATCATTGAAAAAAAAGGATAAAGTACATAAATGATTCCGACTATAAGATACTACTTTATTAAAAGTTATAAAATGGTCTATCAACTATGGGGAGTTACTTTGTTGAGTCTCTCATCTATTAAAAGTTACAAAATGGTCACTCGAATGTTCATTATGTTTTACACTCGTCCTTCTCCATTAAAAAGTTAACAGTCATATGAGTTTGACGTTAACATGTTAACTAAGATATGATCAGATTTTATCTTATCTCAGTCAGCCGGTTAACGTACAGCTCAGAATGTCATCAAATTTTTAACTGAAAATAACGAGTTTGAAACATAATAAATAGTCGGTTGACCATTTTAAAACTTTTAATAGTTAAGGATTCAACAATATCACCAATTGATTTATCATATTTATCAGCAATTAGAGCATATGTTATACAGTTCTATTTCTTGTCTCTCCTTCCTATCATGTTGAAGAAGCTTATGAACAAATTTCGTGATGGCATTTCTATAAATATTTTACATTTACGAATGAAAATATTGTAAATATTTTCAATAATTCAAGCAAGTGGGTGGATGACTAAAGCAAAGTAGGGTGACATAAAAGCTTTCAACGATAGGAGCAAAGTCTCTTATTAGATCAAAGTGGGCCCTTTGGTCTCAAAAGTCGAAATTGGCCTAACGAGGAAGATACTTCTCATCAACGACTTTTATTATTCGATTAAATTTGAATAATTACAATCTACTTAAATTTTATAAATTTGATTTGTCTTCTAATAAAATTTGAATAATAAAATTGAATTCATCGAGTTAATTAACTCATAAAATTTATTTAACTCGATTCGATTAAATAATCATTATTGATATAAACTTTGTTTGAAAGCTTTTCAATGGAGCCTCTGACATATTTTAAACTTTCTTGTTTGAGATTTTAAACAAAGTTCGCAACTTGTTTCAGTTCTGCAAAGGAATTAATGTGTCGTAACCGTCTTTCGGTTGGGCCCCGGAATTGGGCTTCGACTTAGAAAAATTGATTGGAGTCGCCACCGATTATTTATCTAAAAATAAATAGGTTAATCGGATACCTTATATCTTACCTGATCTGCATCTTACCAAAGATATGTCGGATTCGGGAGTCGGTTACAGCTAAGGAAGGATTAGCACCCTTAAACTGCCCTTTCGGTACTATGTAATTTCCAGTTGTCTTTAATTAAGAAAGTTGTAGATTTAAATTAAAATGTAAAATGACGATCCAAATTACTTACCTTAGATTGCTTAAATTGTACCCTTAAAAGATCGAGACATATATTAGATAAGGAATGCAAATAAAACACCTAAGGTAAAATGGAAAACTAATAAGATGAGGAAAATATAGAATATAAAAATGATGGTAATAATAATAAAGATATATAAAAAAACATATATAATAGTAATAATGAAAAAAACTAAAATAAATAAATAACTATAATCAAATATGTGCAAATAAAATAAAAAGGAATAAATAAATAAATAAAACATAATAAAGGTGAAATAAAATAACATACAAATTTAAAGTGATAAGAATTAAATAAAATGTCCATATGTATATAAAAATGTAAAATAATAGCGTATAAGGTAAAGTTAATAAAAAAACATATAATAAAATTAATTCCATATATATAATAACTGAATATGAGAAAAAAAATCTATATAATAGTAACGGAAAAACTAAATAATGAAGATAAATATAATAAGAAAAAGAGTAAAGAAATAATAAGATAAAATACAAAATGTATACACATATAAATAAATAAAAAATACATAAAATAATAGCCTGTATTAGATAAAACAAATAACTAGGAGCATATAAATATATTTAATAATAATAATAATACTAAATAATCAAATATTAGGAAAAAAATATTAATAATAGTAGAAAAAACAGAATAATAAAAACATAATATAATAATAATAAAAAAAAGGTAAAAACGGAAAGGAAATGTAAATATATACATATATACATAATATACCATAATAATAATAAAAAAATAAACGTAATATATTAAATAATAAGAAGCAAATGGATAAATGAAATTAAAAACTAAAACGTTACTTGATCTTAATCAGGGGTTAAATTGAAAAGAATGACAAATCCAGTGGCCAAATTAAAAGAAAAATCAGGGTTCAAATTCAATTCTGGGATCAAAATGGAAGTTTTGAAAGAAAGCGAACAAAAACGCGATTCACCCCCTTTTCATCAAAACGCACCGGTTTGAAGGAGATTGGGTCGGGTTCCAGGGTTGGTTTCACGGGTTGTATATATGTAAATAAACGTTTTTTTTCAAAACATTTCTCTTCTTCTCTCGCCGAGCCCTTCCCCATTTCTCTCTTTTCCTCTGCCTGGTTCATGTGTTCTTGATGAACACATGAACGCCGCCGTAGTCCCCAGACTCCGGCCACCGTTGTTGGCGCCGACCGCCGTTCATCGGCGACAAAATATAAAAAAGTTTCGATTTTTTAAGAGCCCTTTGCCTCCTTTTTCCGAATATCCGAATACTTTCTTTTCAAAACAAGCCTCGGAGTGTAAATCTAAGATCGAAGGTTCAAAAGATCCACTCCTTTGTCATCGGCCAAAACGTTTTTCTTTGGTGATTTCAAGCACAAAACGCGAGTAACTACGCATGCGAGTAGCCAAGAACGAACAAAATAAGGTAAAAATGCTACCTTTATTTCCTTTCAAAACGTTGTACAAAGATTCGGCTTGCTTCTCTATGTTTGCTATAGATGCGTGGTTGTTTCCGTATTTTTTTGTGTATCCCCCCCCAAATACAATGGGGTTACATCTTATTTATAGTACAAGAAATAAACTGTCCTTAGAGATTGAATCCGAGTAAGACTCGGTTTGGTTGTTTGGAGTCCTACTAATGCACGTTGCTTTGCTTTTGTTTCACGTGCTTACGTTTGTTGGTGTTGAGGATTTCATGGCGCCGAGAAGATCGGCTGAGGGAAGCGTGGGTGGCGAGGACTCGTGAGGCAAGGATTGCGGCGCTAAGGAGGGAAACTGCTAGGGTTTCTGGAAACTTGGGTTTGGTCCACTGTTGGGCCCTGAGAAGAAAAAGAAAGAAAAAGAAATGTAAATATAATATAATTTATAATATAAATATATATATTGTATAATATAAGGACGAAATTAGTGTATTCAGCTGCCCCTCTTTGCTCATTGTCGTGTAACGAAGATAGAGCAAAGATTAAAAGACATAAATTTCGTCCATATCGAATATCCTCTGTCGTAGAGTTGAAATTCGATGTTGAGACTGTTTTTTTTTTAAAACACGAGATGACTCCCTCGTCGTGAGGTTGAGTTAAAAACTGGAAGATTCTGAGCCTGAATCCTTCGTCGTGAAATTGAAATCAAACTTGTGAAGCTGAAATCGAACTCAGAGTTCTAGAGGTAGCTCATGGATCGTCTTCTAGCCAAAGATACTCCGTTGTGGAGCTGAAATTGGGAAATTGTTTATTGACAACCAGCGGTCCCTTCGCCATGAAGTTGAACTTGCGTTGTCTGGAGTCCAATATCCTTCGTTGTGAAGTTGAAATTGGCTCTGAATTTGAGAAATGTTTGTTGACAACCAGCGGTCCCTTCGTCGTGAAGTTGAACTTGCGTTGTCCGGAGTCCAATATCCTTCGTTGAAATTGGCTCTTGAAATTGAGAAATGTTTGTTGACAACCAGCGGTCCCTTCGTCGTGAAGTTGAACTTACGTTGTCTGGAATCCAATATCCTTCGTTGTGAAGTTGAAATTGGCTCTGAAATTGAGAAATGTTTGTTGACAACCAGCGGTCCCTTCGTCGTGAAGTTGAACTTACGTTGTCTGGAGTCCAATACCCTTCGTTGTGAAGTTGAAATTGGCTCTGAAATTGAGAAATGTTTGTTGACAACCAGCGGTCCCTTCGTCGTGAAGTTGAACTTACGTTGTCTGGAGTCCAATATCCTTCGTTGTGAAGTTTGAAATTGGCTCTGAAATTGAGAAATGTTTGTTGACAACCAGCGGTCCCTTCGTCGTGAAGTTGAACTTACGTTGTCTGGAGTCCAATATCCTTCGTTGTGAAGTTGAAATTGGCTCTGAAATTGAGAAATGTTTATTGACAACCAGCGGTCCCTTCGTCGTGAAGTTGAACTTACGTTGTCTGGAGTCCAATATCCTTCGTTGTGAAGTTTGAAATTGGCTCTGAAATTGAGAAATGTTTGTTGACAACCAGCGGTCCCTTCGTCGTGAAGTTGAACTTGCGTTGTCCGGAGTCCAATATCCTTCGTTGAAGTTGAAATTGGCTCTGGGTAAAACCTGCAAAGATATGCATATATGTGATGTTATGGATGTCATGCTCTTAGGTATGCCTAAAATGCATATGCAACATGTGTTATTCTGAGCTCTTGAGAGTAATCTCGATCTCCAGTGGCCTGTCGTTGTTGACTCTTGAGCTTGAAGTTCCGATCTCTGATCTTGAATCCTTCCAATATTTGATGATGAAATTTTTTTTTTTTTTTTTTCGAAGATGCTCCTCAACCATCTCAAGCATGTGCATGAGCCTTGATCGGCTTCTGGGTACCTGTACTTTTCAATGAATCTTTGTACAGTAATATGCGATTATCTTTCATAAAAATAAATAAATCATTAGGTTTAAATCTAATTCAAGATGCTCAAAAGGAATTGGAGGAAAGATGGTCTTTATTCATAAGGGAGGAGAAGAACAAATAATACATGGCAAACATTCTAGAAAACGAATACACAATGATGTGTAATTGAATGTCTTAGATCT